AGAATCGATGAATATAAGTGTTTGATGCCTTCTAAAAAATTATCCTTCCTATCTCGCTGCTTAAAGAAAAGAAAACTTGTGTACCAGAATATACGGACACATATAAGAGCCGAGCAAATAATGAAGGAATCCAGTGTTGGTTGGTTCAGAGGTATCTGGTTCTGAACTCGGTAGGGCGTGCTACGGCCCGATCCCCCACAACCTCCAATTTGGATAACATATGTAGGGTTGCCACATTCATGTACCAGACCCCGTGCTAAAGGATCAAAGTCACTAATCGGTTACTCCACTACGTGCGTGCTAAGGCAAAGGGCTTAATGTGATTGCGCCAGAACGAAACCGGGTGAAATAGATACGAGGAACTCCGGCCAGAGTTATAACGGAACTGTTGGATAGCTCGTTTAAAATGGAAGTCTACGGATAAGCTTATTGCTTGCGTCATTAGCGTATCTTTAGTGTTTTACTCAAGTATTGGCCGAACCAACGAGGATTTCCCGAAACCACTTTAAAAATCCAAGGTATGTCATGCTTATGCGCTTACCAGAAAACTTGTCCGACCTTTCGAATGACTATTTGCTTGAGGACAAGCAAAGGTTTAAGTATGGGGGAATTTGATAACGAGAAAACATATCGTATAATTAACATGCTTTTTACCGATTTTATATTTCATTAAGTCGTCTAACCCCCGATTATTCCAAGATTATTTGTCTTTTTGTAGGTATAACACTTGTCGACTCAAACCAATGGAAAAGGACAAAATGAAGAAGGCTAGACGAAAAACAAAGAGAAAAAGAATAAAAAAAATACAAAGTTGGGACTTCTGGATAGGTGACGGTCGTCACGTCCCTGTGACGGGCGTAACACCCCTCAACATAAGGAAACGCTCGTCACACTCACCTGACGAGCGTAAGGCACCACTTCAGCGTGTGATGACCGTCACCCACCTGTGACGACTGTCACGCGCGTGAAGGAGGACGTTACGCATGGCTTGAAGACGTGGGCGTGAAGGGAAGACTAGTTCTCCCTGTTTCTACTGAATCTCCTATTTTATTGCCACCACTATGACTGCTCCTACAATTTCTCCATGAAGACTTCATCAAGAATTCAAAATTAAACTGCTGATTTTTCCTGCTATATATATGAGTACCAAGGCACAGTCCAAGGGTCGAAGAATTTTACTCAGAGCAAATATTCATTTTATTTTTACAGTTATTTCCAATTTGTTTGTTTTGCAATTCTGCTTTCAATTCCTTGTAATTTTCATTCAAGCCTTAGTTTCTATTTTTAAGTGTTAATTCTTCTTACAAGAATTAACACGAATTTCTACTGCAAGTCAAGCTCGAAGATTGGATTACTGTATTACCTCAAGATTACTATAGCATATGTAATTCCAGGTTTTTTATATTGCAATTATTATTTATTTAGTTTCTATAATATGCCATTTATTGCCATGAATTATATTTTAAACTTTATTACTGTTAAGTTAATTATGTCTGGCTAAATTATTAATACCGATATGTGACCGTAAGAACTGAAAGAATTCAATGATACCTTGGCCAAAAATATTCATAAAACAATTTCTGGTTTCCAATTTCCAATATTAATTTAACTATCCTTGTCACGAGAGTGAGAGGTTAATTAACACGATTTTGCCACGAGAGTGAGAAATTAATTAAGGCAAGAACCTGCATACGAGAGCTGGGGTTCAACCCAGATAGTGGTAACGAAGCATTGATTTTTAAATACACGAGAGTGTTTTAATAAATTAATTAAATTCAAATTGTTTTCAAAAAGTGTTATTAAATTTAAAGTGCATCCACTAGGTTTAGTAGCATGACTTATTTCATAAACACGAGAGTGTTTGTCTCAGGTTTTTAAACAATTAGCTTTTACCGAAATACTTTATAGGTCAAGCGATTCATCGAATTCCCTAAGTCCGATTATCACATACCGGTATAATTAGTACTATTACTTTTAAAACTAAATTGTCTCCCCTAAATATCGAATATTCATCGCTTAGTTAGACAAAACTGTAGCATTAGATCGTATGCGATTGATACACAATCTCTGTGGGTTCGATAATCTTTTAAAACTAGAACGACTGAACTATATACTTGCAGTTAGTATCCCGACAGACTTATAAAGTCCCGATCAGCTTAATGAATCGGGTAACAACGTTCTTGGTAACAGAGGCAAATGAGGTTGCTTCAACCCACTTCGTGAAATAATCGATAATGGCTAGGATGAAACGATGCTCATTAGAAGCAGTCAATTTAATTTCTCCAATCATATCAATGTCCCACATTGCAAATGGCCAAGGAGCAGTCAAAATATTCATAGGAACCGGAGGCACGTGTACTTTGTCAGCATAGATCTGACATTTGTGACAAGTTCTTGATGGTGATGGAAATCAGTTTCCACAATTGCCAACAAAAACAATCTCGTTAGTCCTGCTTCTCTACGCTCTATTCCAAAATTTTGGTTTCAACTTCTAGTGTCAAATCTCCACCCAAGAGAGAAAGATATGGAAACACTTACTTGGTATGAGAAGCATCTATTGTTATTCCTCACCTACAACATGAGATTTAATCTTCCTCTTACTATTTTCAACTTCTTGAAGAAAATAATAGAGACTTGTCGTGAGGAAAAGACTTTCCTCATACCTTATGGAAGAGTTCTTTCGATATTTTTCAATAAGTTAAGGATGGTTAGGGGGGATGTTGTAGTTGAGTGGACTGAGAAGTTTGAACTTGTTGAGTAGTTTTATTTGTTTGTGTTGTTGTAGTTGCTTTGGTGATGTTCTAGTTCCTATCAATAAAATATTTAAATGTTACTATTATTGTCTATTCTTGTTTAACCTAGTTTTTGTGTTATGTCGTTGAAAATAGTTAAAAATACGGCAAATCAGATTCAAAATGAGGTTCCTTATAACTATATTACCTCGGTTCTAAAACAAAAACGAGATAACATGTTTATTATTATTTTATGTATTAAAAAAGGTGCTAATTTATAGTTGTGCTACCTCGAATTTTTATAACACCGACATAACATGTTTATTATCTTATTAATAAAATAAAAAATTGTGTTCCCAGGACATATTCTCTTGTTTTTTAGCGTGTTAGACATGGAAGCTCCGTCATGAAATGTATTATTTATTGTAGTGGATACACTTAGGTGTTTGGTAGGCGTGTTTGGTAGGCTTGAAGCCATCGTATTTTGTTGTTTACATTCTTGTTCTTACCTTTGGATGTACCCTTAGGTTCATTTGGTTCATTTACAGCCAATGTAGACATTAGGTTTGTAAATCATGCATGCTAATATTATGTAGCTTTATTTTTATCCTAACTATAGGATCACCATTGTATGATAACATTAGGAATAAAATTTTCCTTAGATTTTTCATTTCCTTTTGCATCCATTAAAACTAAAATGTTTTCTTAATCAAATAAAGGATAAGTACGTAGATACCCCCATCTTTTGAGGGACCATCTAACGTACCCTCCTAACAAAAACATCTAACTTTACTCAAATCCTTTTTCAAGGCAAAAAATACTAAACAAATTAAAACTTTTCGCCTCCGGGCCGCCTTCGGGCTTTTCCTTTTGAAAACCTTTTCAGGTAAGAACATGTTAATTCCTTTCTACGACGACGAATGAGTCTCCAAAGGTCGAGCTGCAGTAGAATACGAAATTAGCATCGTTCATTAAAAAACACAAACAAACATAAACTTTTGAGCTGAACTACAACACTCTGATTCCTTAAAAGGGATACGTATGCATTAGGTTGCATGGCCTAAGCGAGCACAACTATTTAAAACCTTTGTTTTCCCTGTATAATTTTCTCATGCATTTCCCTTAGCTTGTAAATTTTAGATAGACACACTCTTTGGTTAGAACAACAAGAGTGGATCCCGTAGAGTACCACAGGCATGATGGGTGCTAATATCTTTCCCTTGCGTAACCGACTCTCGTACTCGTTTCTTTATCGCGAGACCTTGTTCTCGCTTACTTCAAGTTTACTCGATGTTTTCTTTTCCCTTCTTCAGGATAAATAATATTCGGTGACGACTTCATTGTTTGATATTTTTGTAGTTGCTTCAGTGTCCAAAGATTATACTTCAGATATAGATGGATTGAAGTGAAAGTTTTATCATAAAATATATTATTTATAGTAGTGTAAATTTATTCATAGTTTTAAAAATAGCTAATAAAAATTTCAAATAAAATATTAAAATTTTATTTTACTTACAGGCAAAAATGATAAGTAGGGGTGAAGTATAGAGATATGGAGTGAAACAATACGTTTTTTACTGGACAACAATTCGCATGGCCCGAATAAAAGGGTTCAATGACCCAAAAAAAGCTATATAAAGCCTTTCTCCGTAGAACTTCATGTTTGGCAAATGCTTACGAGAGAGAGCAAGAAGAAGCAGTTTCACGGTAACGTAAAAAACATTCAATTTGGAGTTATCTTGCTTTTCATATTTCTCATCTCGTATGAAGTATGTTAGGGTTTCAATTCCTCTTCTTTTCTTTATTATTTCATCATATTTAGGGTTTACAGTATAAATTTCGTTTAGCTTTATAGAATTCATGAATGAAGAATAAAGGAAATTGTTTCACTCCAAATTCAGTACAAGGTTGTTTCATGGAACGACTTTTTGTTTTTTTTTTTTCTTTCAAATTGATCTCAAGTTTGTATTGATGCAAGTTTATTGACTCTGTTATTGATTTTCAAATGTCACTCACTACTCAGTACTTCAAATTAGTATTTGTAAATTTCATGATCAATTATTCTACTGTTATTGATTTTCATTGCTGCTACTGGTAGTTTATTTTCACTTTATTGTGTTTGTTGTGAACGAGTTTTCAAAGAGAATCATCATATTCACTTTTTGTCCATGACAGGGGATAATTGTTGATTTGAGGAGCATGATGATCAATAGCAGTACAAGTACAAGTGTCTGTGTTCCTCCGTTCCCAATAAAAGAGGGAAAAAGAATGGGCGTAGAGCGGGCTGAGTTACCACAAGAAATCATTGAATTAATATCCAAAAGGCTCACAATCTACTCCGACTATCTCCGATTCCGATGCGTCTGTCGCACCTGGAATTCCTGTGTTCCCAAAACCCCTCTCCATCTACCACCTCAACTACCATGGCTCATTCTTTCTCACAATTCCTTCTTTGACCCATCCACCCACAAAATCCACCACCTCAATCTCCCTCTATCTGCATCTCCCCGCACTAGTATCTGCGGTTCTTCTTTTGGCTGGCTCGTCATTCTCCACCAAATCTCGGAGGTTCTTCTTCTCAACCCTATAACACACGTCAGTCTTTTTCTTCCTTCTCTCTACACTTTTCCAAAGTTTGTTAGAGAAGGTTTGGGTTATAACCTATTCCTTAACAAAGTTGTCTTGTCGTCTAGCCCCTCGCTTTGCGACGACTTCGCTGCATTCGTCATTCTTAATTGTAGACAGTTAGCGTTCTGTAGAAAAGGCTATGATTCTTGGGTTCTCTTCAATGTGAACGGAAATCACCTATGGGTGGATGTTGTATCCAAAAACGGTTTGTTTTATGTTGTGAGCACAAAAGGAATGATAGCGGTGTGTGATGTTGAAGGTCCTCGAGTCTCCATAATTGAGATGACAAGCTCTGTCAATTTATCGAAGGAAACTTTCTGTGTTATGTTTTCCGGGGAGGACATGTTGTTGGTCTCTCAGCGTTTACTACAAGGTGTATCTCACAGAGAAAGATTTCGAATTTTGAAGATGGATTGGAATATGCTAAATTGGAAAGAAATTCATACTTTGGGCGAAAACATGTTGTTTGTAGGGTCGAGGTCTTCTGTTTCTTTTTCTACTGTTGATTTTGGTGGATGTCCTCCAAATCGTATCTATTTCACTAACAATGTTTTTCGGAAAGACAATTTGGGCATCATTAGTTTATCAGATGAAAGTGTTGAGCTGTTGGCCCATTATACACTAACTTATGATGTTCGATTAGGATGTCCAATTTGGCTTACACCAAATCCGCAATGAGCTAAATATCCCAATGTTGTATGTTTAGCTAACTGCTATTGTTTTTGCTATTGTTTTTGCTATTGTTTTTATGAGTTCCCTCCTATGAGGTGAGAAAAGTTACTCTTATTTATGATTCACAGCTTGTTTACCATATATTGATGATGAAGACTACACTCACTATATTGAGTCCTAACACTTCAAGATGTGTTGCTTTTACAGATGACGGAATACAAATTCAAAATGAAAAATAATGTCAAAATTGCAGCATAGCAAGATGTAGGTGACTACTTAAATACTCTGGCTTGTATTCTATTTTTCGTAGTAATGAATTTTTATGGTGATATGTCTTACCAAGATCATGGTTGCACTTGCAGAAACCTAGTTTACCTTAAACTTGTCTTGTATTTAAATGCTTTGGTGAATTTTGGCATTCTGATGTTAAGAAGATAATCAAACAGTAAACGCTAAGGGAGCGCGGAAGTTAAATTATGTGTTTTAGACTTAAATCATCTATGTTTTACTTTTATGAGTTATTATTGTTTCCTTGACATGTAGAAAGTTGAGGATTATGCACACCATTTATCCACCTAAAACCTTAAGGTGATAGGTGATAGATGAGTGAATTCTCCTACTTATAAATGTAAGTCGTGAGACTATTTTTCCACTTACTCAGATTGCATGTCTATGAGAATTCAACGTAAAAGCCAATTTGCATAAATATTTTAAATTTAGATTACCTTTGTTTGGTCCAAATAGTATATCATGTGTAGATATTTGCTATGGCAGAATAGTACTTTATACTGATAACAAATAGTATGAATTAAGATTTAAATGGTAAAGCAAAGCAAATCAAATAAAGAAAATTAAAACCTAATCTTAATAGAAAAACAATAATGTATTACTAGAGAAAAGAATTCCTTCTAGAAAGTTGTTACGATAAAATAATTTGTAAGGACTCTATCCCTAAAACTGATCCTAATAGTCCTATTTATCATTTTTGCTTTATTATTCGTAGCTTCTGAGGAATTTATTCAACAACTTTCGTATTTGGATTTAAGCTAGAAACTTTCATTCTCTTTGGATTACCGAAACTTTCATTCTCTTTGGATTACCGAATTAAAACAAAAGCAATAAAAACGATAGTAAAATGTGTTAGAACAAGCACAAAACCTTGTATGTGAATCAATGGAGATGATGGATAATTTTGGTGAAATTAGAGGATTGGGGAAGATAAAGTTTAGAGAGAATAGAGATTAATTGAGAGGGTAAAAAATCATATGGCATTAAATCCATTCAACATGTTACAAAATGTATATATAGTGCCTGCTAACACTAAACAAAGTAACAAAACAGAGTTTCCTGCAGTATACTGGCAGCTTTTCCAAAATAGCTTCTCAAATAAGCTATTCTCCAAAAACACTTCAAAACCAATTACACTGCATTTGACTTATTCTAATCATTCAACACACCACCTTAAGTCAAATGCTCAATGTTCTTCATGCCCAACCTCACCACGAGTCGCTTGAAAACATCATTCGTAACCGCTTTCGTCAACAAGTCCGCGACCTGTTCTTCACTTCTGCAGTAGCTCAAACGTAACTGTCCAGAACTTACTAAATCTCTCAAGTAATGGAATCTCATCTCAATATGCTTGCTCCTCCCATGTGCTATGGGATTCTTAGCAAGGTTGATGGCTGAAACATTGTCCACCAACAGCAGAACAGCTCCTCTCGTGTTGCTGTCCAGCTCACGCAGCAGGTTCACTAGCCACACAGCTTGGCATGCACATAACGAAGCTGCGATATACTCCGCCTCACAAGAAGAGAGAGCAACCACCGGCTCCTTTTTAGAACACCAAGAGATTGGTGCTCCTCCGAACATAAAAACATAACCGGCCGTTGATTTCCGATCGTCCTTATCTCCGCACCAATTGGAGTCGGTGTATCCGAGTAATTCGCAACTTTTGCCCATGTCACTTGCAGGAAATAAAATCCCACAGCCAAGAGTACCTTTCACATATCTAAGGATCCTCTTAACCGCTGCCAAGTGTGATACCTTCGGCCTCTCCATGAACCTACTTGCAATACCGACACTAAACGCTAAATCTGGCCGCGTATTGCACAAGTAACGCAATGATCCTATCAATCTCCGGTATTGAGTAGGATCCACATCTTGCTCATCTTCACTCTTGGACAGCTGTAAACGTGCCTCGGCTGGTGTTGTGGCAGCATTACAATGCTCCATATCACACCTCTTCAAAATCTCCATTGCATACCTTCTTTGATGCATGAGCAGTCCCAACTTTGTTTTTTGGAACTCTATGCCTAAGAAGTATTTCATAGAGTCAAGATCACTCATTTCAAACTCCCCCATAAGCTCTTCTTTGAACTTTGAAATGTACTTTTCACAACTGCCCGTAATCAACAAATCGTCCACATAAAGACAAAGTATGATTACTCCTTTGCTTTTATCCGACTTCACATACACACCGTGTTCGGATACGCACTTCTTGAAACCAATGTTGATAAGAAAAACATCTATGCGTTTGTTCCAAGCTCTTGGAGCTTGTTTCAAACCATAGAGTGCCTTCCTTAATTTGTAGACCCTTTCCTCTTGATTTTGTATCACAAAACCAGGTGGCTGTCCAACATACACTTCCTCATCCAATGGACCATTCAAAAACGCCGATTTGACGTCCATTTGATATAACGACCAGCTGTTGTTATTTGCAATCGCAACAACTAACCGGATGGTTTCATGCCTTGCAACCGGTGCGAATACCTCATCAAAGTCTATGCCTTCTTTTTGCAAAAATCCCTTTGCTACCAATCGAGCCTTATGCTTGATTATCTCGCCTTTCGGATTTGCTTTTACTTTGTAAACCCATTTCACACCAATCGCCTTTTTACCTTTCGGTAAATCAACCAACACCCAAGTATTGTTCTTCTCAATCGATTTCAACTCTTCCTTCATTGCACACATCCATTTTGGATCGCTTAATGCCTCCTCCGTATTTACCGGTTCGGATTCGGCCATTAAAGCGAAATGAATAAGATCACCATCATTGTTGATCTCACTATCTCGGAACAGTTCACAATCTCGGAGTCTTTGAGGCATACCTCTATGCCTTGTTGGTCTACCCTCATTCACAACATTGTTTTCAGCTGCTGTAGGTGCTGGTACAGCGGCATCAGACAACTCCGGATCAGAGATTTCAAAAAACTGCTGCTGCTGATTTTCTGCTGCTGTTTCTGCACTTTTGATTTCATCAAAAGTCACGTCCCGGCTTATCACGATCTTCCGATTCTTCTCATCAAACAGCTTGTAACCACCAGTAGAGTGATATCCAACAAATATCAACTTCTCACCTTTATCATCCAACTTCTTTCTAAGTTGATTTGGTACATGACGATATGCAATCGATCCAAAAACACGCAAATGAACCACACTCGGTTTGAAACCACTCCAAACCTCTTCCGGTGTGATTTTCTCCAGCTTCTTAGTAGGACACCTATTCAACAAGTAGGTGGCTGTAGATACGGCCTCACCCCACAATTCTTTAGGTAACTTCTTCCCACAAAGCATGCTACGCACCATGTTCATTATTGTACGATTTTTCCTCTCGGCAGCCCCGTTTTGTTGAGGCGTATATGGAGGCACCACCTCACGCACAATACCCTCAAGATCACAAAACTTCCCAAACTCACTAGAGGTATATTCACCTCCACCATCCGTTTTGAGAATTTTGAGCTTCCGACCGCTTTGACGCTCCACCATGGATTTGAAACTCTTGAACACTCCAAACACCTCATCCTTTCTCTTGATAAGATATGTCCAAAGCTTCCTACTAAAATCGTCAATGAACGTAACAAAATATCGATTGCCGCCATAAGTCTCTACTTGCATCGGTCCACAAACATCGGAATACACCACCTCAAGTAAGCCTTTGGTTCTTCGACCCGCATCCTTGCTAAACACATTCTTGTGTTGCTTACTCTTCACACATTCCTCACACAATTCTGTCGGAACACTAATATGTGGCAGCCCCGTTACCATTCCACTTTGTTGCAACATCTTAAGATCCCTAAAGTTAAGGTGATCAAGACGGTAATGCCATAGCCACTCCTCTCTACTTGCCGCGGTAGCTAAACAACGATGCTCCATAACCTTTAACTCAACCTTAAAAGTTCTGTTGGCAGCCATCGGTGCTTTTAGAATCAACACACCATTTGAATCTAAAACGCGTAACATCTTATTCTCCAATCGAATTAAGTACCCTCTTTCAAGCAATTGGCCAATGCTTAAAAGATTGCACTTAATTCCCGGTATGTACAAGACATCTTTGATCCTCGACTGTCCTCCATTCTTCCTTCCGATCAAAACATCTCCTACCCCTTCGGCGCTTAAAGTAGTGTCGTCGGCAAACTTGACTTTACTCTTTGTCGCTTGATTGATTTGCACAAACCAATCCTTTCGACCCGTCATATGTGTTGAACAACCGGAATCCAAGTACCACTCATCTTTACTTTGAACTTCATCACGCATAGTAAGTAATGCATTTCGATCCAAATGCATTTTTCCACCACTTTCCGAAACTGTACAGCTGCTGTCCAGCAGACTATCACCACAGTAGCTGCTGTCCGGAACATCAACAATGCCATAATTCTCTTCCGTAATCATCACAAGAAGGGTATCTTCATCATCTACCTCTTCCCTAGCAACCTTCGCCTCATCCGCATCCTTTTCCTTGCGTTTTGAGCGACATTCTTTCGCAAAATGCCCAAGCTTTTGACAATTATAACACTTCACAGAACTTTTGTCAAACGGTTTGTGGGCGCTTTGATTACCATCTTTGGAGCTTCCTTCACCCTTTGAATTTTGTGGATATTTTCCACCAAAATTCTTCTTATTTTTAGAAGTCCACTTCCCTTTCAATCTATTGTTCTTCTCATGTAAACGCGCTTGCAAAGCGATCTCCGCTTTGGCTTTGTCGGCACTTCTCTCATCCATCCTTTGTT